ATTGCAACTTTGGAGCTTTATAACTCGAAAAGTACTCAATGAAGAAACATTTCATTATAGTGTTTTGGAAAGCTCTCGAGGTCAGCTACAAGAATATGTAATAAAAAATAGAGGATGTCATTAAAAAAAATTGAGGTGACCTTCACGTGACTTTCAAATAATTCTTCAAGGTCAAACCAATGGTACCGTCTTATGGTCCCCTCGAAACCAAACAACTTTTGTCTGAAAAATTTTTCTCTCCCGGGCTTGGTTTTCGAAATATTCGACTGGGTCGATTAAAATGGCCCACCTTGTATAACTTTCCATTTTAACTGTGCAATATATTTTTTTTCACTTACAAGAATCTTACATGATAAATCATTAATTTTATTTTTATTACAAATTTTTGCTCGCTATATTTGTAATATCGCGTTGGATACAACGTTACACGTCATATCTGGTGTCATGAACATACTACGAATTGAGTATGCGCTCTTTTTACATAGAGAATTTCGAAACGCATGTATGATATCGAAATTCGACGGTCTTTTATATTATCAGAGATAGGACGCAATAAATACAATCTATTACATATTGAAATGTTTCTTGACGAGTGTGCCCACTAGATGAAGCATCTGGAAAGTTTTATTTGGTTGGACCCGTTGTCTAAGCAGATAATATAAAATCCCTTTACAAAGACACAAGATAATGATGAGGGCAAATATATCCAGCATAAAATTGGGGACGGTCTGCCTGCCTAGAAAACGAAAAATTTGAAATTCCAGCATGGAAATTCGGCATGGAAAACATCTAAGCGGTAACTGGTTGAAGATGTATTGTCCATAACTCAAAATAATGAGAAAATTAAAAATTGATCTGCATTGTATTTAAAAGTAACATAAAAAATTTGACAATAATTAAGAGCCTGGACCAAAAATTATTCCGTTTTAAAGGAGGCTGTAAGATGAAACGAATTTGATAAGTATTATGTCAAATTTGTACTGCGTACACATTGAAATATTATTTAACTCCTTATTCGCGTAATTAGAAAAAGATTGACCATCCGAGAACTGAAATATTTGTAATGAAAGTTAACACTGCTATTTTTAATTTCTATTTTTGACATCTTTTAAACTAAAAATAAGATTTTAATGAAAAACTATTACAGCATTAAAGATTAATATGCGGACGTTATACACAAATTTTAGAATTATTGATTATCTTGTTTTGAAAATATAGTGATGTAAAGTTTGTAATTTAGAGTAATACTCGAAATACATATACACGCACATATTTAAATATTTATATATATATCTCTTTCTATCTGTGCATCTATTAGATCAACTGATGCATAAATATAACATTAATAAGAAAAATAAATATAGCATTAATAAGAAAAGTAAAGTAATTATATTTTCGTATTTGTAATATTGTGTATATATGTCTATCTAATAAATTAATATTTATTATTTAGGTAGTGAAACACATGTATTTTAACAAACGTAATTTTGCTTGATAAATACTAAACTCATGTCTCCCTTGATGCGCCACTAAACATACGGGCATTAATGGGCAATACATCTTTGAATGTGATTTAAAACATTTTTTTAATTCTTACCGATGGTCCGAAAGATTTCCACAGGCGAACTGAAGTGACAGTACACCTCTTCCAAGGGACAAGGTAATCTTTTTCTACCGTTGCCATACATGGCTGCTATAAGGGCCTCTAGTCCGTATCTGATATAGCTCGTATACATAAGAATTGTTCGATAAAGTGGTAGAGGACTGGGGTCACCAAAGCCTTGCACCGCGACGAGTATCAGAGGACAGGTTAACGCAGGACCGAAAAATACGCTGTTCTAAAACAAGATACATCAGCTGTGACAAACATATTTCATACGCTCTCGTGACACTTAATTACTTCACGTCTATCGTGAGATTGTACACACGCGACCAGCTCTGGACATACCACGACATTAAATACACTGGCAATACTATAGGCCATACTTTCCGCGATGAATGCACATAGGAAGCAAGTGCTGAAGAACATGGAGCATCTTTGCCACTCCAAAGGTTGCCCCGTAATGAAATAGACCAAGGTGAGATATATTAATGATAACACTATCTGGAAAACATATCCAGATAGGAGAGATACTTTAATATTCAGGTGGCTCAAGGCTCCTGGATATTTGCTATGTCTTTCTTTGGGGACGTCAGAAAGGAGGGAAATCATACCAATTTATGTGACGGTATGTGTGGAAATAAAAGAATATATCCAGTCAACAAGAAATTGTTAACACAACGTTGTTACAATATTTATTACGATGTTTTGTAACATGTAACGTTTTCAAATATGTAGTTCTTAATAGTGTATACAACGTTGTTGTTGACAATATTTGACCGAAACATTAAAAATAATGTTTCTACACCATAATTTTAATATCTAAAAATATTGTCAAAATGTTTATAAAATCCACATAAAATCAATGTTTTAAAAGATTGATTTAATGTCGCTTGCTTACTGGGCATGCACAAAATAACACTCGTGATCGATTTAGCACATTTGTAAAAATGGCCGGACGCTTCCCTTTAACCTGAATAATTAATAAATAGCCGTGAATTAGTATAACACGCAACTTACGTTTTTAACCTTTCTTTTCTCATGATTTCTGTTACGTTAATTTTATGGCTATTTATCAACTGTCCAGGTTAAAGGAAAGCGTCTAGACACAAGTGTGCTGAATCGATTACGAGAGAAAAAAGATCATATATGAAATTTGCTCATATATGACTATATATAATCATATATGTTCACAACAAAAAAATACTGTTATTTATAAATTATATGCAAATACAATCGTAGTAGAAGTAAATGCTTCTGGTTATTTGTACTTCTGACAGCACATGATGTCGACATTTCATTAAATGACGTAACATCATTTTCTTTGTATAGATATATATGATTATATATGTAATTACATATATGGGCAAAATTTATATATGATTTTATATAATCATATATAATCATTTTTTCCCGGGGTGTTATTTTGTGCGTATATTTTTTTCCATATATCGTCACATAAATTGGTATAATTTTCCTCGCTTTTAACGTCATTAAAGGATAACCAAAGCGAGTTTCAGGAGCCTTAACGTTGTTGTTAAGTTTCCAGGAGCCTTAACGTTGTTGTTAAGTTAAAGATCGCTAACATAAAGTGATAATGACAGGATATTCGACGAATAACTTGCTGCGTAAAATATTCCATATTATGTAATAGTGAAAATATAATTTTCCGAGGACTTACTTGTTCAGGTATTTTGACTATAGTTAGTGCCCAGTAGTATGCGCTCATTTTGTACCATCTATTAAAGTACTCGCGTTTCATCAGTAAAATTTCCCCAGGAACTGTAATGAGAACAATGAATAATAAGATTGGACGTAATTGATTAATTCATCGACACGTGTTGATTAATTTCTTCCTTAGATTGATCATGTCATCACATGAATACAAAATTTGCGATCGGTAGAAGTATTAGATTATTACGGTAATTGTTGTTTTTACATTTATGAAATATTCCCGAATGTACTATTGCCAACGAGCATTAAATTGTTTAAATTAATTTCTCACTACTCTCAGCCTTTTCTCCCTTCTTCTTTTTTCTACGAACCAGTTATTCTAACTATGTATGTAAAATATTATTCTTACATCTGAGTAGTACTGGCAGCATTGGTATGTACAAAAAGACTATAATACAGGCAAAGCAAAAACCAAAGTTGAAGAGAGCCTTGGACCCATCGTTGCCCATGCCTAAGAAAAGTCCGCCAATGACGAATCCCAAAAATATGTGGAAAAATATCTTCATGTATATGTAGTTCTATGAACACACAAAAATCGCTCATTTGTACGTTCGTTTTGACAATTTCGTGAATCAGTATTGTTCATTCGTGCGAATTGTGATTTATCAATTTTTATCAAAGCCTGTTATTTCCTTTCGCTCAAGATATCGCTATGTTTGTTTCAAAATCATTCAATATTGAATTTCGTGAATGCCATCAATTTACGGATCTCCTTCGCGTTTCGATATTGATCACCTGGTGTTTGTTATTGGCAAAATGCGATATTCGCTTGATCTTACCCTGTCTCGATAGAGCTGCATCGTCATTCTTCTCACTAGCGTGCTGAACTGATCGAACCATAATATTCTTGGGTTTTTTCTCTCAAATTCGAACTCCTGCTTTGATCGTTGAATCGGCAGAATCGGTGCTTTCATTTCCACGCAAGCGAGCATTCGCTCAGTTAGGTCGAAACCGTAATCGCCTGATGAGATTTCTATCACTGAAATGATTGCAGCTTAATAATATTAAATAATAATAAAAATAATATTAAATAGCTCCATATTTACATTAGAGCGCGACATTGTATTATTATGATTTTTCCACTCAACTAAGAATACATTTTTTAAAAAACCCCTTCTCTCTCTTTTTTCTTCTCTGCAAAACATTAAACATTTATCAAGGATATGTAAAGAAAAACACGTATTATTAAGTAAACGCAGTATTATGTTACGTCATGTGGAAATGATTATCACGTGCATCAGAATAGACGGTTATCATGACCTAACATGACCGCAGAAGAAGAAATTTGCTTCAAGCTGAAATTGTCCGAGTTAGCTAACTTAGATGGTAAAATAAGGCATTGTTTTTCTGTTGGTTGCAATAGCCGATTCTCTGACTTGATACGAGTTTTGCTGGAGTTAATGCGTGACTTAGCTGCTCTAATCAACTGTCTACTTTCCGGCGGACTGCTAATTAGTTGGTCCGGCTAAATAACTTCCGTACGACGGTCTACTAGTTGACTGCTTCAACAAACTGATTCCTGCGTAGTGGTCATCTTCCCAGTGACCACCAACTAACAGTAACATATAACATCAATGTTAAAGTTTCTCATTCAATAATGTAACTGTTATATAACACACGCGTTATATTGCATTTACATTGTTGAGTAGGGAATTATAAAATTGATTTTACGTTACTATTAGTTGGTGTTCACTGAATTATGCATATTGCTATGACCGCTTTGTCTGATCGCGCAAGCCACCTGCTTTATTCGGCTGATAGTTAGCACTTCCGATTTAAGAAATAACAGCTTAACATAAGCAACAATTTATTTTCAAATTCTATTAATAATTTATTAACCGTCCACTCATCTGCCATGACAGATGAATCGTTAAACATATCAGAAATAAGAAATTATTTTCACTGGTCGTTAATGCTGTTCATGACCATTCGGGACGCGTTCGAAGTTACTATCTAATGCAGTCAACTATTTGCTATCTTCGCACATTGATTGTTTGGCTTTCCAAAGTCATACATTGATACTACAATTCGCCGCTTCAAAAATGTAAATGACTGCGGCGCAAAATTTTTATAAAATCAATAAAAATTGGCCATAGCTGCAAATATTTTTTTCAGTGCATATTTTGCGACTTTCAGTGTTTTTCAAATAACAATTTAACGTAACCTGTGAATCTATTCGCTTGAAACGCTCAATAACATTATTTTGCGCGCACATGTACGATGTCGGCTGAGATCACTAATTATTATTAGAGTAATTTATCGATCGAACATTCGGTCGTCTTTTTACACTTGTAAACTCACCGAAGTCCGCGGGATTGTAATGTTTCGGACATTCTACGCCCATGCTTTGCAAATATGGCACTAGGTTGCTCGGAGTACCTCTGTAAATGCATTGTCCGCTGGTAATGGCGTAGACATGGTCGAATTTTTGAAATATTTTCGCGCTAGGAGTGTGCACCGAACATATGACGGTGCGTCCGATACGGGCCAATCTTTGCAGAAGTTCGATACATTGAGAAGAAGACAGCTCATCCAAACCACTGAAAGCAGATTCATTCTACAACATATTTGCATTGGTAATGTATTTCGGAAATTCGAGAACGTCGCATGAGAAAGCATTATACAGCTCACTGTTATCGAGAGCAAACACTTTATTTCAACATCTTATTGTAACGCTTAACACAACACAATACTTAAGACAACATTAAAATATTACTGAATGAATCATCGCAGCTGTTTCCTTCACGTATTGAATATACAACTTATTATCGAGAATTTATCTCTTATGTCTGACTATTCGTGCGTATATTTACCTTTATTAGAGAATTATTTACATTTTTAACATGTTTCGATGAAAAATTATCTTCTTACGTATTCTGTCTTAAATAATGATATTGCGTAAGTGACAATTATCTTTTAAATTCTTTGTATATTTCCTCCAAATAAGTATTCATATTTAAATGTGCAGCGTCGATTGTTTTGAAAAATGAATATTTATGAAGTCGTAAATGAGTATTTCCAAGGTGATTATTGCGTGAAAGGAGAATATATGCAGAAAATAGCAATGTATAGAATGTCCTCGAGATGTTTTTTTTCTTGTATCGAAAAGTGTGTAAAACTCATCGAATCAAGAATAAGTTTATACAAACCATATTTATTAATAATATTATATTTTAAATATAAAAGTTGGCGGGAAGCAAAATATCAAATAATAGTCATTGTAATAATTGCTTTTTTCTCGTTTGTTGTGTAATTACGTATTAGAGAAATTATTTAATTAATTTAAGGTATGGGATATTTACACTAACGCGTTTATGTCTTTTTATTAAGCATCATTAAACTGAAACGTGTAATTATTGAAATAAGGCAAACAACTTAAATTTCAATGTTATTATTAAATTATGAATATTTAAGTAAATATCATACATAGCACCGAGATAAAAAATAAAATAGATAATAGAAAATTAGATAGTGTAAAATTATGAGATTAAACATAACACAGAGAAAAAGAGAGGGGGAGGAGGGAATTTATAATGATTTAATATAATTATAGTTATATTTATAATATTGTAATTATAAAATACTTTAAAATTATAACACAGTTTTATCGTACGTCGAGAGACAGAATTTATGAATATTGGAAAGACAACTTTCTTGGTAGATAAATGCAATTAATGTCGATATCAATGATCGTGATCATTCTTTAAATTTGTATTTTACACTTACGTGGTCGGTTCGTCGAGGAAGATAATCGGTGGATTATTCACTAGCTCGAGAGCGATCATCAGCCTTTTCCTTTCCCCACCAGACAGTTTTTCCGTTGTTGTATTTCGTGAAGCGGACAATCTGAGAGTATTAAGAATTTCGTCTATCTGCAAGTGCCGGATGTTTTTCTGATTCATGCGGTATAAATATGTAATAATACGGCTGTTAGTACAATATACTTAAGTAGTGTATGACATGACAAACTGGATATTATATAAGATTCAACTGGCCATGAAATAAGAAAAACCTGCGATGTCTGCGGTGTCTGCGATGTAAGCGTGGATACTATCGTGTCGTATTCTTCGCTATCTTTTTTGTATCTCTCTGATCTAGATTTACATTCTAACTCGATACATGTACCACGCAAAAAAATGTGCGTAGTGTTGCCTATTTCTTATATAAATGATGGGAGAAGCGGTAAAAAATTGTGTTCGGTGGTTAATGACGTTAGTCGTTGCGAACCGATGTATGTACATGAAGCCAAATATCTAGATCTTGTTATTATTAATAACATGGAAATCGCATAAAGTCTTACAAAGCAAATCCAAAAATAGAGATAGGTGCGAAAAATTTGATTCATATTTTACATATATTCTATTATTATGTATCTATTACATTTTGTTTAAAAAAATTTCTAGAATGTCTGTAAACGTTATTTATTAATGATAACAATATGATGTTTAAGTGATTACCGAATATATTTTTTACTAACGAGTTGTTTGAAACTCTCGATAAATTTGTCGTTATGTACAATAATGATATCAACAACGTGTTATTAGTTCATTCTTAAAGTATTTATACTTTAGATTTGCTTTCTCTCTCTCTTTCTCTTTCTCTCTCTCTCTCTCTCTTACACACACTTTCTTTCGCGCGCATCACCATAGTCACGTTTAAGAGAATACATTTGTATTCAACGAAATAGATCGTTACTGACCTTGAGAGTTCTATAAAATTCAAGGTGAATCTCTGTTTAAGAAGAGACTTTCCATTGATTTCTATTCTTGAATTTTGATACGCTAAACACGCCCTTACATTCTTCTTACTTCTTTTTACTATTTCACATTGGATTAAATTTTCAGTTTGTCTTTTGAGTAATTTTTTTGACATACTCGTATAAACCACTGGTCATTAACCCTTTGAGTACTGAATTATTTTAAGATTTTTATGCCCATGGGACGGATTTAATTTGTCGCTATATGGATTAATATGTAAAAGTAATACATTTTATGCCCAAGTAAGCAGATGACGAGTCTCACTCGTCAAATGTACCGAAAGGGTTAATTAAATTAAATTTGAATAAATGTTAAAATTATTTGGGTTTTAGTAGTTTAAGTAAAAAGAAAACACACATAACTGTAATTACTGATTTATTGCAAGGATTTTTTACAATATCAATTAAATGTCATACATAATATTGAAGTTAAAGATAATATTTTCACTTAGATTTTGCTTTCATTTGCAATTTTACTTTCTACGTATTCACTTTTAACACTTTATCACAGTCTCGCAAACTCGAGACATTCTGACAATCAATTTATCCAAAATTTTTAATCCAATATTTCTTGTAGAACTTTCCAAAGACTATTTGTATTTCTACTTGATGATTTGTACTTGTACTTCTAGGTGAATAAACTTCAAAGTTATCAGGGATTCGATGGCCAGTGTTCCATTTAAATGAAAAAGACATGTCAATAATTAATAGGAAGCATTATGGATTTTTTTAAATAAAAATGCATTCGCTACTTCTTTTGGAACATTAACATGTTGAGTGTCGCGTGGGCTATTGATAGTGTCCACCCTGGACTTTCCGTTTATGCTGCATATTTTATGTTATCTCTTTCTTTCATAATAATGATTTCGTAATCTTATAAATATAATGATATATGATAAAAATATATAATAAATGCGGTAATTATGGATTATCGGTGACGCGATGTGAATGAAATGCCGCGTGAAATTGGCACTCAACAGGTTAACGAGATATTTGTTACTTATTTGTTATTTATTTAAATTAATAACCGGTAGTGTATTTTTGTAGCATAATCTTCGTGTTGTGAATATGTGAGGTATCTCTGCGTCACAGAATGTAATTAGGATACACGGAACACTTAATATCGATCAACAATTTTTTAGTTATTTCACCAAGAAAAACAAGATTTGTAATTGGCATGACGTCTTTTGCGAATTATATAACACAAAAGGTAAGCACAAGAGGTTAAGGATACTACCTATTTATATATCGAGTTCAAGTATACTCACGGCAATGTGTTTTTCAAACAGGGATTTTCTTTTGTCAAGCTTCAAGTCGGCGGCGAATGCCATTGCTTCAGAAACCGTGAGTTTTGGCTGCACAAGGTCCTGTTGCATAATGTAACACGACATTTTTTTGAATTCCCGAATGTTTCGCGGTTGTCCATTAATATTTATAGACCCATTTATGTCCGTGCATCTATAATTAAATCATAACTATAATGTCAAATATAAACCATTATACTACAATGCTGTGAAATAAAACGCTTGTTTTGCGCCACGACTTTTTATTACTGTAACTACTTTAGTTCCTGAATTTCACGTCAAAGCTAACCGTGCACTCGTGTTAAATCCATTACTATTGATTATTCGATATGTCATAGGTCGCGGTCGGTGATCCTCAAAGGTTGTTATACTTCTTACATGTCTCACATACATTATGCGGTTCTTTAGGAAATGACGTAATAGAATTATCGATGTAATTAATATAATGGTACAATATGGTTCGTATAAAACAATTTATTGATTGTAAGTAAAACAATTTAGAATCCTTAGGCAGTCATAAATTTGCAATACGCAAATATCTGCTTGGTTGCCGATTGTACATTATACACGTAAATTGTCGATTAACCGCGCAGAGACAATTGTGGCCGAAGAAGTTGCAAAATTAATAACTTCAATTGGTTGGTGAAAAAAAAAGAGAAGAAAACAGAGAAGAATTAACGTAACAGAATATAGTCAATAATGATTTAACTCACTTGTAACCCGCAAGAATATTAAGGAGCGTCGATTTCCCGGCACCGGAAGGACCCAATATCGCCGTCAACTCGCCCGACTTGAACTGTCCGCTGATCCCTTTTAGTATTAAGTTTGACTCTGTAAATTATGCGGAACATTAAGTAGCGCCTTGCACCTGAATAGCAATGGCTTTGACCAGTAATTGCTAAAACGAAAATATACCACGTGTGTTTACGTAATGTGTAGTCACATGTAAACGTTCATAATTTAGTTACTTAGCTCGCTTATCACGTCCCGCAACATTTTAAGAAATATACGCTGATACCGTAAGTACCACGGACTCATAATTTCGAAAATTTAATAGATGTCATAACATGTTGTCGAATTAAAGATAGCAACGACTATTTTATCTAAAACTTTGAACCTGTTTTAACATTAATATCATGTAACATTATGTTTAAATAGAACGGCCAGAATATCAACGTAGACCTTTAGACCTAGATGTCCATTAGAAGAAAGTATCGTGTAGCACTCTTTGCATTCCAGTGGTGACTCTCACTTACCATGTGCCCCTTTGCTGGTGCGCCGCGCGAAAAAGGCCCGGAGTGCAAAGGGTTAATTAAGAAAATGATAACAACTGTAGCAAATAAGTGATAAAGCAGCTGATAATCTGTTTCAGTTTCCGTTCTTGTATTTATTTATTCTTTAATAAGGACAGCTACTTAGTAATTTTCTTCCTTGATCTTAGCACTTTTCCTTACCATGTGCCCCTTTGCTGGTGCGCCGCGCGAAAAAGGCCCGGAGTGCAAAGGGTTCATTAAGAAAATGATAACAACTGTAGCAAATAAGTGATAAAGCAGCTGATAATCTGTTTCAGTTTCCGTTCTTGTATTTATTTATTCTTTAATAAGGACAGCTACTTAGTAATTTTCTTCCTTGATCTTAGCACTTTTCCTTACCATGTGCCCCTTTGCTGGTGCGCCGCGCGAAAAAGGCCCGGAGTGCAAAGGGTTCATTAAGAAAATGATAACAACTGTAGCAAATAAGTGATAAAGCAGCTGATAATCTGTTTCAGTTTCCGTTCTTGTATTTATTTATTCTTTAATAAGGACAGCTACTTAGTAATTTTCTTCCTTGATCTTAGCACTTTTCCTTACCATGTGCCCCTTTGCTGGTGCGCCGCGCGAAAAAGGCCCGGAGTGCAAAGGGTTCATTAAGAAAATGATAACAACTGTAGCAAATAAGTGATAAAGCAGCTGATAATCTGTTTCAGTTTCCGTTCTTGTATTTATTTATTCTTTAATAAGGACAGCTACTTAGTAATTTTCTTCCTTGATCTTAGCACTTTTCCTCTTCTCGTGAAGGTTGCCGGAATTCTCCAACAAGATAAGATTAACGCATTTTGAATACTCTCAGTCAGCCGTTCTTATTTATTAAATTGATATAAATAATAATCAATTGTAATGCTCTAGATAAATTGTTGCAAGATAAAATAAGATTAATCTGTTAGTCATCATAACATCCGCATCGCCAGAAAGCATAATTTTCATTTTAACATTTCTTGATACATCATTATTTAAGTTTTCCTAGAAATAATAAAAACTCGAAGCCAGAGCTCGAAGCCAGAGCTCGAAGTCAGAGTTCGAAGTTAGAGCTCGAAGCTAGGTTTTGTTGAAGACGGTCATTACTGTCAATGTTTTGTTACACATTTTTTAGAATAAGTTGTCACATAAGAAAACTCCAGTTCGCAGTATTGCTGACCAAAAAACAAAGATAGTTACATACTGCGTTCGATCTCATATCCGTTTCTACTTTGATAACAAGGGCGACTTATTTTGTACTTATTATCAAAGCACTTATTTTGTTAACAAACATTAACTTTGATAATAAAGACTATTTATCGATTTTCTTCTTGTCCCTCGTTTTTCTCCTCCGTGTGAACTATATTGAATTATGCGTTATTAGAATCTTCCACAACGAACACGGAACTGACGTATTTTATACATTGCAAATTAGATTATCTTATCTATTAAACTTATGTAAAACATAGACTATATTATTTATTATTATATGCTTTTACAGTTCTCAACTGTGTTGCAAGGTATAATTCCAACGATTATTGACTCATCGAGATAATCATGTCACGTCGCCAGTAGTCATCATCATTTCTTCTTTATGCTTTTTGCATGCGAATTTATCAGTTAACATTCCCGCACGAATGATGAAAACTTAAAGCCGGCGGGTGATTTTCCTGAAAAGGATTATTATTCTCCAATTGTTGCGCACCGTGACATTTGAATGATGCTATGTCAGCGCCCATCTGCTTGATCTCGCTGCGTCCTGTGAGAGAAAAGGGACTGCAGAGTTCGCGATGTTCGCTGTCACTTGGGTGCAACTAATATACCGTACAAAATTGTCGGTCACGCTTCGATCGTTAACCCTGGCAGAATTGTGAAGAACGTTTTCTAACTCGCGACTTACGTATCGTCTGTTGAGCGAAAGCACGCGCTGATTAAATATAATTTATCGCCGTATATTAACCCTTTAACTACAGCTGACCTGGATGACAGAACTCTATTACCGCTGTGCAACTTCGCCGTTGAACGCGCGTAATAATGAATAATAGCAGTCCGATCGATGTTTGTCACTATATGATTCACTGTAGCTGCGTTAGTATAGTTTAATGATAATATTTTAGTAAAATAATAGCTAATGAATCAATGAGCTGTGTATTTACAGTGTTAAGAAAGTGAGCAAGTTATTGTACTAATAACAACAAGTTATCCACTGAATCTCAATGCAAGTTTTACAAAAGAACCATTAAAGTGGCTTCTTAAAAAATCTTCCAACGGAGAGCCACTATAATGGTGTTAGTATCCAAAGGGCTAATCGCGCGCGTATTATGTTCCTCGAAAAATTCTTACCATTTCTCTATTTTTCCATTCTCTTACATTTCTTATTTTTCCTCGTCGTCGTAATAACTTTGTTTGCTATGTATACTACTATGTATTTTGCAATTTTAATGCCTGGCAGGGAGTAGCAAGAAATTATCTCATATTGAGCATATACTAGAACAGTCATTAATATTTCATTTCATAAATATTTCATAAATAATATGTATCATGGCGTAGAATAATTAAATCAATTTTATACTTCCTGATATGTGTGTCGACCGATACACAGTCGGCAGCTTAGCTCACCGCATAAATCTCCGCCGTGCGTTGGCAGATCTGTGACTATCAGGTTTTAAAAAAACTGAACTTAGGTTGGTGTTTATAGTCAGATCTTATACTTAATATTGTCTTTAAGTTTATTTTCAGATGCTTCGTGAATCGATGAAATGCGCCTTAGAGTAACCGAAGATAAACTGAAGGCGTCCTTAAATATAAGATCCGACTATGAATACCGGTCTTAGGTTACTTAAACTCCCGTTTGTTTCATTCAATTCGTGTGGAGAGATTTATTCGCTGTGACAGCACGAGTCCAATCACGATTCGTGATAAGAGAAATCGTCATTATTGCACCACACATCTCTAATATTAGAATCGCGGATGGTCATTTTTAACCCACTTTGTTTGTAATTATCCATGGGCTTTTTTGAAACTTATAATATTATTTGTTTTATGATAAAGAAAGCCTCCCAGTGATGAAATTCCATAGAAATTGGAAAAAAAAAGTATTTAAAAGTGAGTAAAAAATGGCCTAGTTGCGTTTATAATGTTAATCGTACATTGTTTACGAAAATCGCTTGAATTTGCATGCTTGCTTAACAAAGTTAGGTAATTCGATCACACCGATGAAGAAAACGTCTGGAAACCTCACGTCCGCATAGAAAGCGACCAGGAAACAATAGGAAATTATAATCGCATTATGGGTCTTCGTTGTAGCAGATCACGAATGCCTTCGTATATTGAAGATAACGATTAAATGTCGTTTGCCTAATATCACACTTGCCTAATATCTTGATTATCTTATGACATATCTTTGATTTTGCAAACGCAATTATGCATCGGATGAAAAACAGATTGCGTAATTTAATATTGCGCTTATCATGTTTTGCAGATCCCGTTCATATGTTCTATAATCGGTAGATTAAAGGTTACAACACTATTTTCCGATGAGTTTCGCAATGCGTTTTCACAATTTGTGTTTTTTTAGTAATTTTCGGGAAATATATTTTTTTAGGCAATCACGAGATGCGTTGTAAAACTCACCGAGATAAATATTACAACCTTTAATTTGCGAATTCACAAAAATGTTATTAACTGTAATAAACTGGCTAATAAGTTACTGTTGTCTACTAGTTTAATCACTTATACGAATAATAAAACTGTAGTGTCACTGGCCAATTTATTCACAGGTAATATTTTACCTGTAAGCGCTGTATGCGTGTGTACGTGGGCATGCGTGTGTGTGATTGAAATGATTTGCCACAAAAGTCTAAAAAATTATCTTAATCATGCTTCTATAGCAATTTTCGTAATAACCAAATGTGTTATTGAAACATTAGATGTGGAGATTAACAACTGCATGTTTAAGGGGAGGTTCTAGTCAAAAGGCCCGCAAATTAACGTAATTTCATGATTTTTTTTTTTGAGCGAACGTAAATGTTTTTTGAAAAAACTTTTTATTGCATTTATTAGTACATATTTGAAAATATAAATAACATTTTTTCCCCCCAAAAAAATCAAAATGACGGCTCCAGCCCTCACTGAATAAAGCCGTGCGCGGCCATAAGCAATGTGCGCTGCACACTCTACGGTCCTGCCAAGTGATCTGAAACAAAAAAACCAAAAATATTCTTAAAATAGATGAAATTTGGGGGGCCTTATGATTTTCCGATTTGTAAAAAACCCTTTTAAAAAGAAATGACGGTCATTACGAAAAAGAAGACCCTCTTTTCCCGTTTTTTTGTTTTGCTTTAACGTTAAAAAAACAATAATAAACAATTTTTTTTTAAACGCTTCTTGAAGGCCCCCTAAATTGAATAAGCTTTAATTTGAGCCGTCAAACATCGAAATCGGTTAAGTCGTTGAAGCGGAATCGTGTGCGGCGCGCAAAAAAAAGTTGTTTCGAGAAAAACGCGTCTAAAATTTGAGGAAGAAAAAATTGTAAGTAATGTTTGTTTTTTGACACTTACATCTAATCAGCTATTCCAGCACTATACAGGGTTCCTTCCTCATCCTCAAAGAGCATGTTTTGCTGCACTTGGGCGCTAATTTTTTCAATTCTGGCCTTTTACATCAACTCTGACTGACTCGCGTTCGCTGACTTGACGCGCTCTTCGTCAGTCTTCGCAGCGAAGTTTCTGCTGTTTGTTCCGATTACGATTCCCAACGTCTACATGGTTTTTAATATAGATGAATAACCTTCATTAAAGATGCCGGAAGCTATGTATGCTGCTATTCTGATGGTTTGTTCGCCACAATGAAGGTGTTTGGGAACCAGTTTCCACAGATAAGCGTTGAAGCTTTCGTTGTCATTTTGCGTGTTTCCACCTGTGCATCTTTGCAGCAAATCGTCACTTGAAAGAGCTTCATATACGGGTGGAATTGCTTCTTGAACTGATGCTGTAAGGGCAGGTTCATGGTGGAAGTTGAGGAGAGCTTGGAAAGTTTTCGTGTCACCGTCGCCGATATATGTAGCATATTTCACGCCGTGCGATTCTGATCGACAAAACATTTCTTTCATACAATCTACTTCCATCTTATCAGCACTTCCAATGTGATTTATGTTGAAATGTTGTTCATGAGTATCATGCCAGATATCGTACTTATTAGTTCCTTTTTTGCTGGCCCAGTTGCTGCAGCTTTGGCAGAATGACGACTTTACAACAAAATCCAACACTTTGTGCGTATATTTTCCGATCAGCGTTGCAATTCCAAATAACGACGAAAAGCCACGTCTTTTCCACGAACCGTCGCCCGACACGCTCAAATGTGTTTCTTCATTTCCCGCCTCCGCGTTCTTCTGTCTTTCTTTAGCAATCGCTTTACGTTGAATAACTTCGAATGTACTCTTTGCTGCCTCGAGCAGATTAGTGATAAATGCATAGTACGTACCATTTGCAAAGCCTGAAGACAGTTCCGTTAGGGAATAAAAAGTATTTATCGACCGTAATCCGAATCCCAGAATCCGCATAACAAACATCAAACGGCGATTTATTTCGTATGCGCCATTTACTAAAGGACTCGAAGAAACGCGTTGTTGATCATTGCACTTGCACTTGATTACTAAATTAAAACCAAGTCCACGGTCACACGTATGAGAAAATGTCACATCACCGTCACATTTTTTACATTTTAAACACTGAGACAAAAAGGTGAAAACAGTCAGAAAATTTATAATAACGTTATTATGGCCAACATCAATTTCAATATCATCGTAACTCGCGTCTTTAACTTTTTTTCGCTGAAGTACTAGCATACTCAGTTTCTGCTTCTATTTTATCGGGATTATAACTGAATTTCTTCTTTCGAGGCCGATATGGTCGAACAGTTCCCACTGATTTTCGTGTGTTCGGCATTTTTGAAACACTTACTTGCCCCACGTTCGAAACGCAACTGAAATACGTTACTGTAAATAGAAGTATAGAACGCACGTCTGACCGAGGGTGTACGAGCACACATTAGACAGGAATGTACAGGAATTCGTTGAGACAGGCACAAACTTGCTACCTGTAGTAAATACACCGCTTAGGCGGTGAAAAATGCCCCTCCCTTGAAGCCGCTCCGAGCGCGCGTTTATACCTGTTTTTCGGCCGACGCACTCTTTCGTCTAATACGCTATAACTCCTAAAATAAATTATATAGGGAAATATCCTTTTGGCTACACATTTTCAAGACCCTAAGGATGAAAATAAAGCAAAAAAAAAACATGTTTTTTTTCGATTTTGACTAGAACCTCCCCTTAAAATTATAATTATGTGTATATTATGACAGCTATATTTAGATATCAAGTAGCAATTAGCAAGTCGTACTTGCTAATTGAATGAGAAGTTTTATCGGAAATCTCAACGTAGGATAATTGTTTGCACAATGAATGCATGAGTAAGTGAAAAGAGCTACTGCCTGTCGGTGATCTTATCAGGAGAGCGCACGAGAGGGTCGTCGGGCGATTCGAATGAAACATATGTTATTCACGTCGAAATATTTGTATCGATAAATGCATCCCGACGCACACCCCGATCCGCACCGATAGTTTATATAATTAGCAAGTCTCTATTGAAAATAAATAACATGATAATATCCAATGATACATTGATTGGTATACAGCGTCCCAATGCACCTTCACCTGACGGTTTATACCATATTGGTTTTGACTTTCAACCAAGATTATACAGTGACAGAATGGAGAAATTTGTGCGAACATACAGTTATATCAGTTCAAAATTACGTACTTTTCTTTTCTTTTCTTGTTTTTAATTTTTCTTATCAATAATATTTTTAATAATACTTATTTCTTCTAAATAATTTTATATCGATTGCTTTTTATTTCTTATCTTAATTAATTTCATTGATATTAACTGTGTTTATAAAGTAGAGGGAAGGTACTTTCCCGCGCAACACAAATTGGTTGACTGACCATTGATCGACGCTGACCAAATATTGGGCAACAGCCAATCAATTTCTACTACTAGAATTGGACCTGTTTTAATTTGGATTCATGTCGATTTCAGCGCGCTATCTAGCGATTTCTTTTCGTTTATTCCTATCCAGAATTATTATAAGAATTTAAGAATTCTTATTTACGGTGGTAAACACAACGAATTATCGCATTAACAAAGCAAAAATATCATTGAATAAAGTGCTGAAATCGACATGATTCTAAGGTAAAATAGGTCCAAGCTACATCACTTTCTCCCATCTTTTGTTGTTTTAACAGTGTCTATAGACACCGATAAAAAATATAATTATGTATTATTAATAATAGAATGTGTCCATAAAAATGTATAATTATATATGTATATGATTATATGCACATCTGGTATGTTTCGTACAATCGTTCGTGTGAAAGTAGAATGGATGAAACTAAGCATAAGCAAGTAATACGCAAATAATTTGCAAAAAGTTGTTCTTGACGGAACGGATATTTGTATTTGTTAATATGCGCATTGATGTTATTACTTTTCTTACTTATTTTTACGTAATTATAGGCAGTTACCTTTTCGAGAGGCGCCTGGCGTCGAATACATCAAATCGTTGAATTCGATGTCCACCGCGGCCATTTTTGATAAATGAGACATCCGTGCGGAACCGTCATATTTGAAGGCATTTTTTACATCTTCGCGGTGCACGTCCATTTTCATCGCATTGTTTTCCAGAGTAAGTTCCATGATAATTTCGACGGAAGTTTTAAGAACGATTTAGCTCCAGTTTGCCGCTATCATTATCTAATATCCTCTTTCGTGGTGCAACGAATAGTTCAGCATCGACGGGGAAATAATATGAGCGGCAGCTGGAATCCGGTAGGTAAAACAGTGAATATAGTGCCACGCATCGAAATGCGAAGAAATATTTCGCGGAATCGTGGCGGTACCACGCTGTATTTTGAGGTCGCGACATGAACAAGGAAAAGTGATAGTTTAAAAATATCGTTTTTTACGTATACAAACGGGCATGACGTGTGCGATATGACTTTTCGCCTTATCATATCCGAAGGCTTCCGTCATTCGTGCATTATTATGTTGTTATTAAAATAATGGGCATCGCCAATGGGAGCGAAAATCCTTGTAACAAAGCACTTTGTACGCGTTACAAGTACGTAGAGGATATATTTTTTAGGTGAATGAAGGTGAGACAGTGGTTTCTAACTAGGTACTACCTTTATATTGCATGCGTTATTAAGTAATCTAACGTTGAACCAGGGTCAAACACGTTTAATCGAGCGTTTGGCATTGATTAATAATTATCACTATGGCTACCAAATTCCAAACGTGTTGCCTTAAGGCTCATTAAGTGAAGCGTAAGGGAAGTATGTTTAACATATTTGGAATATTATCCGAATCACACAGATGGAATTTGATAATACGAGGAAATGCAAATTTATAATTTCTGTTAACGAGCTTGTTGCAATATATCTTCATTTGTATTACCCCCACAGGATATTGTCATCCGATGTTGCCATTCTTTCAGTAATTTGCACCGTTGTCTTTTGTTTTAAATTAAACCACAATGTACGTAATTGCGTACGAAATATATGAAATATAAGCTATAATTTTCACATTTTATTTAAATTTGTATGATTACATTTTCATTGATGTAAGCACTGGCAGTAAGAGCGCAGCTACTATCACCCACGCTTCTTGTTCTGACAGACGCGCTTTGTTTTAGCAGTCGTGCTATCTCTCTCTGTTTTCTTATTCTCTATTATGTCTTTAAAATTAATCGTACATCTCACTAAAAATTTTTTCGAAAAAAGTGAAATTTCTTCCTTAACCATTATTGACATATGACAGATTTGAGAAAGAAATACATATCGCGTAGCAACCAATATTTCGACATCAAATGAAATATGACGTCACAAATATCAAATTGATTCTCAGAATCAGTTCTATTGAACTGCGTCGTCTAAGACAATTCTCAATGGAGGAACTCGACTGAAGTATCTTAGATGAGACAAGACACTTCAAGAAATGATTTATCTGAGACATTTCAAGAAATGATTATTAATGCGAGCCTTAGTAATCCAGATGACACGGTTTAAAAATCTTTATTTTTTGCCCGGCGTTTCTTTTCACGAAGGAGCTTTACGAATGACTACGATTGATTCAGAATGAAGCATTTGGCAAAATGAAATTTCGTAAAAACATGTCCTTTCTGCGCATGCCGAAGGTAGAATGATTACAAATCGCGTATGATTTTTTTAGACATTTTTACATTAGCGCACGGGATTTTGTTCTCACGTTCTCATCGCGCAATCTACAGGATGAAGTAATCCGTGCAGGAATGCAATTACGTTGTCTACGTTGTGTCGGACGACTTATTTTTATTCGCTTTATCTCACTGTTAGTTTTCATTAGTCATGTAAGATCGCAAAAAGTTCGCCTCGCTCACAGTTTATTATGGCAGTCATATGCAATGAATTCGTACGGTTCGTTCGCGTGTTTTCTTTGTTTTCGAATCGCTATTTTTGAGAAGCTCATTCGAAAATGTTCTATGAACATGTTATTTTATATAAAATAAATTAATATTATCGAAATGATGAATAAAATACTAATACTTTTTGACATGAACATGTTATTTTATATAAAATAAATTAATGTTATCAAAATAATGAATAAAATACTAATATTTTTTAACGACTATTCGGAGAATCTGTTGTTGATCTGCTGTTGATTTAATTCGTGTACTAATTTTAACTTTTATATCATTAGAGGAATTTCGTTCTGGTCATATCTTTTTATGTGCTGTCGTATGTTTCTGTATTTCACGAGATACAGTTTAATCATCAGTATTCAATACACGCGATAAATTTCACAATTATTTCGCAATGTGTCAAATCGCTAAAAGAAATCTTTGTTTTATCATTTTCATTTGTGACAATTAATCACAAGGTTAAAGTCAAAGAATAAAGTAAAACAACAATATTAAAGATAGCACAAGTAAGAAACCATAAATTAACGTTATAAATTAAAAAAATATAAAGTTATAATCGACAAAACCTGGCGTGTCGTAAATCCATGTGTATTACATTATTTTTTTCGGTTTATTATCGCGCTTATTTCTTAGTTATCCGATCAATTTTTCCCTTTACGAAGAAGATACAAGTTACTCCATGGATCGCTCCCTTTCTTCTTTACGAATCTTTTATTCACTTAAGATTCACTTAAGATATATTTCGTGTTATTGATTAATTCAATAACTGATGAAATTATGATCAATATGATCTAGTTATTCTCTCCAAAATTTTTCTCGATCCCATTGAAATTAAATTACAATAAAAAACGACGATATAAACACAAAAAAAGTTTATCGAATTCATCACACTTCTAAAAATTCGAATTCATCACACTTCTAAAAGTTCTAAAAAAATTATTAAAAAATATCCTAACATTTTCAGATAATATGCGTTCATTGATAAAGTTTAGGAACTATCGGTTGCTCGAAACTTGCGATCAGGGGAGTTATTTTCAAATTAAAGCACAAGTGCACACACTCGAACTCGTAGATTCACACTTACAGGCTGCCTCTGTTTCTCTTGAGAAAAGGTTTCCTTCCAATTTGCGTCCAAGTTACTACGTTGTTATTAGAAGTATAAAAACATAATGGATATTCGTGACTGAAGAATTATGTGACCACATCGACTGTTGTCTGCCAATTAATGCGAGCAGTTCAGCACGACGATAGACGAGACCAAGCAACGAGTCAGTCGAAGACTGAGCACGCCGCCAACACCGACGGTAGACTGACTCGGAAATAACATCGCTTGCTCCCCTACAGCTATATCTACTTCTCTGTCGTGCGTATGTCGTGTGTATGTAGCAAGGGATTCGTAATATACATTCATTCGGCGGACACGCGCGTTAAGGTGGATGTCATCATGTCATGTGTTGCGGTCGGCGCGATCAAAATACGAAATGAGTGAATTTGATGGTTGATTTTTAGAGAAAGTGAGAGGGGGAAGAGTACATTTTAGAGTAATACTTTCTACCAAAAGAAATATATAGCGTAAAAGTTTAAGCTGATATTTATAATATGTAAATTCTATTCAGTTAATTAATTCGGAATGGATAAATATTGATTGACGTAGTCAAATAAAAAGAAATAGGCGATTTACGTAAACTCACTGTATGTATGAAATAGTAGTCTGTGCGTTGCATATATTCAACTAACGTCATTATTCTTCTGTTGGATTTAAATATTGATGAGCATTGTCACTGTCTGATTATCATACTTGTCTGTCATTACACTTGTATTTGGCAATATTTTACGTAACTGCAATATGGAATTCTCATCGTGTATTACTTTTAGCGGGCATTGGAAATTTTAGCGACCAACTTACCTGTGTAAGCGTGACAGTCGCAAATCAACAGTCATAAGTATAATTAGTATGATAAGGCACCTCCGTTATTAGCATCAACATATGTAACATATCGATTCCTTATTACCAGCGCCACAAATGTACCACACATGTGCAATATATGTTAAAATACTAATAATTATCGAAAATGGTCATGCATAGAGGCTTCTTTAATCAATAGCCCGAAAATTTGCATAATATTTGTAAAATGATAAAGGATATCTTAGTTTAAAGTGACCTAATCTACAAAACAGCTGTATCTAGTGATAGGTTCAAGGTTCGAGGTTCAATGTTCAATATTCTGATATTTGTCGTTACAGCTGTCATATACTCATAGATTAGGCCACTCTGAACAAAAGAGTTCTTTACCATTTTGCAAATAACACGCAAATTTTTTACTTATTGATTAAAGAATCCTGTATATGGCCATTTTCAATAACTCGGAATATTGCATATTGTTTACGAAATGATAAAGAAGTTTTTTGCTTACATTACTCTAAATTACAAGTATGTAACGGATGACTCGGCTTGCGTCAGTCACCCTGTATATAAATATAAGCAAATATACTATATTAGTACTCATAGAATAAATATTTTTTATTTGGATATTTCCTTCTTAGTATGCGTT